CCGCCCCCCCCCCCCCCCACCCCCAAGACTTCTTGGACAGGCCAGCGCCTGGGCTGGCAGGCCAGAGCCTGGGCAGGTGGGGAGGCTGTCTGGTTCCCTGTGCCCCCATTGGTCTAAGGAGACTCCATGCCCTTTCTGAGCAGGGGCCCGGCCTGGGGGAATCCATTTATACCCCTCCCCCTGGCCCACCAGCCCAGCTTGCTGCTGCCAGCCTGACCTCGCTCTCAGCCCTCCTGCACAGACTCTAGGTGAGGCCTGGCCCAGCTTCTCAAGGCTGGAGGACAGGGCACTGCTCAGGCTAGCTCACAGGAGGACTTCCCTGGGGCAAGGGCTTGGGGGTCTTGGTGTTGCCGTCAGCAGCTCTCTCTGGGGGCTTCCACAGATGTAGAATCGAGAAGCCGCAGGTGCTGCTTGGATGGGGTGGGGGTCTTGGACAGGAGGCCTCTGATGACCAAGCACTAACTCTGGGGGACACATAGCAGAATTTTTGGGTCAAGCAAGAGGGGACCTGAGCCCCCAGGCCACATTGTGAAGCTCGTTCTTCCATGTACTTAGGTTTCCAACCAAAGGAGCAAGCGTTAAAAATAACAGGCCCTACTCTGGCAGCCACCTGTGCTGGCCAGCCCCACCCCTCCCTCAGGGACAGCTGCAGCTCCTCAGGCCCCGCCTGGGACATTTTGGGAACACTTTCTCCTCTTGCTTCTCACCCTCAGAGTGGGTGGGGTGGGGAGAGCATGTCCTTTAAGGCCTTGCCCTCTGAAGGAGGTGGGTTGGGGGCAGGGCAGGAGGAGGGCTGGTGAGAACGAGGCCTCCGGGCCTGACCTCCTGCAGGGTGGGCACCCACATCTCTACCTCTCTCCCCACAGGATCAGAGCTCAAGACCTCAGGATGGGGGAGTAAGTAGCACCCAGCATCCCCTCACCAGGGCATGGGTCCTGGATCTCCCTGTCCTCCCTGGCCACCACCCACCCCATCAGCCCCAGTTCACCCAGGGCTCCATGGGTGCTCCCACCAGCCTTGGCCTAACTGTTCTTTTCTCTCCAACCCCTACCCCGCTCTTCCTCCTGGGACAGCGAGGAGGTAAGTATCATTTGAGGCTTGAACTACCCTCTGGGGATAGGGCAGAAAGCAGAGCTCAGGGTCCCCCAAGTGCCTCACCCACTGAGACACCTAGAGAGGAAGTGTCTGCCTTGAGCTTTACAGGACAGGGGAAGTGGGACTGGGGCCTAATCACAGGGGAATCACTTCCCCTTTCTGATTTCTGCTCCCTACTCACCTCCCAGGCCTCCCTTCCCTACAGCCTCTGAGGCCTGGCCATACCCTCCCCCTCCTAACCACAGCCCCTAACCCCATTCCTCCAACCCACTGTGCCATTCAAGCAGAGTGTCAGGATCACAGGCTCTGTGTCCCTGAAGCAGGCCCTGGACTAGGGGAAAATGGGGCCTGGGCAGGGGCATGGGGCCTCCTTGGGAGCCCCAGACCCAGTTACCTGGGGTAGAAGCCCCCTGACCTGGATGGCTCCAGCCCAGGCCTGACTCTCCTTTACCCTGTCCTGCTTTTAGAAACGCAATAGAGCCATCACGGCCCGGAGACAGCACCTGAAGGTATGGCAGGGCGCTGTGGAGGGCCGGGGGGTGTGGGGGCTTGGGGTTCACTGCAGACCCTCACTCCTACACTATCTTGCAGAGCGTGATGCTCCAGATCGCAGCCACCGAGCTGGAGAAGGAGGAGAGCCGCAGGGAGTCGGAGAAGCAGAACTACCTGTCTGAGCACTGCCCTCCCCTGCACATCCCGGGCTCCATGTCGGAAGTGCAGGTAGGCCCTGCTCCCGCTTCCTTCAGGAGGTCAGGCCTGGTGGCCCAGGGCCGGGTGGGGACAGTGGTCCTCAGGTGCCAGGAGGACAGCCACCCACCCCCATTCGCCCACCCAGGAACTCTGTAAACAACTGCATGCGAAGATCGATGCGGCTGAAGAGGAGAAGTATGACATGGAGGTGAAGGTCCAGAAGAGCAGTAAGGAGGTGAGAGGGCGGGGCCAGTGGGTGGGCGGGGCATAGGACAGGGGCGGAGCCAGCCGTGGACGGACCGAGGGCCTGCGGTGGGGCTAGGTGACATTGAGGAGGGGTCAGGTGACTTGAACCAGGTGGAGCTAGGTGTTACGGGATGGAGCCAGGTGCTGTGGGGGTGGGGCCAGGTGGTGGGAACACACTGGGTGGAACCACATGATTTGCTGGGGTCTGGGGCAGGGATACCCCCCAGCAAGGCCAGGGATATGAGGGCTGCTAGGCCCCTAACCCACTCAGCTTCTTCCTCCTAGCTGGAAGACATGAACCAGAAGCTGTTTGACCTGAGGGGCAAGTTCAAGAGGCCCCCACTGCGGCGGGTGCGCATGTCCGCAGATGCCATGCTGAAGGCACTGCTGGGCTCCAAGCACAAAGTGTGCATGGACCTGAGGGCCAACCTGAAGCAGGTCAAGAAGGAGGACACCGAGAAGGTAGGCTGGAGGTCCACAGCCGATGCCCTGCGTTGGGAGAGCCCACTGCTTCATTCCCAGAGGGAACTGAGGCCCAGGGCGGTCTGGGGCAGTGGGAGTGGGTCTGAGGCCTCTTTGTTCTCTCCCCCAGGAGCGGGACCTGCGCGACGTGGGTGACTGGAGGAAGAACATCGAGGAGAAGTCTGGCATGGAGGGACGGAAGAAGATGTTTGAGTCCGAATCCTAACTGCCCACTTAACCCCCACGCTGGGGGCGGACCCAACAGCCAGTCCAGGAGCACCTGACCTCAATAAAGGATTGGAATCCCTAACACTGATCTGCTTTGGTTCTGTTCTCAACCACTCTGGGGCTCATAGCAGCCTTGAGGTGTGGGTAGATTCAAGGATCCGGGGTACACCCCAAAACTGGAGGATACGGGCAACATCTGCTCCAAAGTGTCTCCCAGATTGCTCCGGCCATGTTCAACCTGACAGGGTCTGGAGAAAGATGACCACAGGACCCCATCAAGTCTGAGCAGGAGTTGCTGGGATGAGTGCCTTTGTCCCTTGGTACAGTTGTCCATAGACAGAGTAGCCGTTGGCAGGCATGCCCCAGGACAGGGGCAGTCCCCATTCCTCAGGACTTTAGGTTCCCTTTGGGGCTCCATCTGAGCCTAGAAGCTGGGAGCCACCCTGGGTCCATTGGACGGCTGATTCTGTTTCCCTCATCAGCGCTCTGTCTACACAGTTCTGGGTTAGCATCAACCCTGATCCCTCTCATACACTCTATATCCAGTGCCTGCCCACACTGTGGAGATGAGGGTAAGACTGAGCCTACTCAGCTTGAATCCTTACCACCACTTCCCAAAGCCATCAATGTCACACCCCCACCCTGGGAGACATAGGGCCCTGGCTCAGTACTTAGCTTCACAGCTAGGCCACCAGCTCTGGACCCTCTCATAGATATGCATGGGGCTGATCTGGGTCATCAACCCCTTCAGAGGGCCTGTGTCCAGTAGGTGAAGCCTGGGTCCCTGTCCCTGGGTAGAATGGTGACAGGCCCAGCCTGGCCCTACCTTGGCCCAAAATGATTTCTGCTCTGTCTCAGGTCCCAGCTCAGCCAGGATAATGTCCCTACCAGGCCTGACCAGAGCCATCTTGGCACAGCTGTGGCACCAACCCTCCCTTCATGTGAGGTGCTGTCAGGGCCCTAGAAGGTCTCTTTGTTGAGGTCTTCAGTGGGGACCTGTGGGTGACTACCTTCATGCTCTACCTGTGCCCTGGAGTCCACACGCTGGAGCTGTTGGGGCCCTGGAGGGTCAGCAGTGGTGTCCACTGATACCAAGAACGCTCTTAGCTGAGGACAGCATCCTGGCCCCTCCCTGCTCCACCCCAGAAGCCTTGGATCTACCATGCTCCTTCTCCAGCTCCTGAAGTCCTTTCTTGAAAAAGCCCCAGCCCTGGACCTTCTTCCTGGTCCTCAGACTTACTGCTGCAGGGGAAGGCCAGGCCTCTGGGGACAGCCCCTCCTCACCACGGAGCCTAGAGCAAGTCAGAGCCCAGTGGGCTCAGAGACAGAGCCATTTGCTAGGGCAACACTCCTAGGCACATGCCCTAGATCCATGCTGTGTACGATGATGTCAGATGAAAATAAGCAACTTAGGGTTACAGAGAGGTCCAGGTCCTGGTGGAAGGGCAGTTACTTCGAGAGACAGCCTGGCTTGAACCCTGGGGATAAAGTGAACTGGGACTATGCTCAACCAACAGTGCCCAGTGCATCCCAGCACATAGAGCATCTGAAGTCTGTGGAGATGGGAGGCAGGTCACATGGGCCCTGCTATGGGGAAGTAAGGCTCAATGCCGTGTGGGGCGGGACACGCCAGGCAGCTGTATTATTTACTTATTTCATTGCTATGACAAAATATCAGACAAAAGCAACTTAAGGGAGGAAGGTTTATCTGGCTCACAGTTAGAGGGTGCCGTCCATCACAGTGGGAAGGTGTGGCAACAGGAGCACGAGGCAGCTGGTCACACGACATCCACCGTCGAGGACAATAGAGAGATCTATGTTAGTGCTCAACTTGTTTCTTCGACAGGGTCTCCCTGTAGCCCCAGCTGGCCTGGAGCTCACTATGTAGACCAGGCTGGCCTGGAACTTGTAGATACCCGCTGCCTCTGCCTCCCAAGTGCTGGGACTAAAGGCGTGTGCTACCACGCCAGGCTGTTTTGTTCCTCTTATTCAATCTGGGACCCCAGCCCATGGGATGGTGACCCCCACATTCAGGGTGGGTCTTCTCACCTCAGTTAACACAATCTAGACTCTAATGGGCGTGCATGGAGGTTTGTTTTTGAGGTGATTCTAGATCCTGTCCATATTAGCCACTACAGGGTGAAATGATCTTTTTTTTGAAAACAGGAAATGTCAAACACAAAATTCCAGGTGATCGTTATCTGGGGTGGGTGCAGTGGACACAGGGCAGATGACTGTTATCTGAGGGGGATGCAGTACTCACAGGGCAGATGGGATGGAGCGTCTCACAGATTTAAGTTTGGGGGATATAATTCTTGAGTAGGATGGCAGGTTTCTGGTCATGTGTTACATTTTCCAATGAATTAGCAAAGTACAAGAACTCCCTACAAACCATACTAAAGTGACCGACCCTATGCCTGTATGATGTATTGGGCACTGCTCTGAGCCCTACCCCATCCCTATGTCCTATGCTTTCTGTGATCCCGTGGGCTAACCCCAGGTGTCCCAGCTGGAAGGCCATCGAGCCACATGCAGCAAAGGCTGAGGGGGGAAATTCTTCCTAACAAGTGCATGGCCAACCTTGACAGCTCTGCATTCTGGAAAGACCTCAGCAGGGGAATCAAGAGGTAGGGTGGAGTACGGGTATGAGAGCCAGCACCGTCTCCTGGGATGGAGAAGCGGGCAGAGACACTGAACAGGTGAGGTCCCCAGGACTTAGTGATTGACTGAGGGAGCCAGGGAGTCTAGATCATTCTCCAATGGAAGAGGAGATGAGGAACTGTGGGGTTTGAGGCAGGGGCGGTGGGCATTCTCCAATAATAATTAGAAGTAGGATCTGGGCTGGAGAAGGGAATCAGAGCATCTTTAGATGTGAGATGTGCAGATGGACTGGGGCCACTGCCTGGGGAGGAAACCGGAGAGATGAAGGACGAGAGACATTCCTGCAGTGAGGTCAAAGGTCGAGGATCAGCTGACACCCCAAGACACTTAGGCTGGGCAGTAGTCAGGAAGGAAGTGTGAGGTCTCATTTTTGAAACTGGCTGTCGGAGAGCAAGGGTTAAGTCCGTCTAGGTTGACAGATGTGAGGGCCACGAGGTGTGAGTGTGGGAGTCATGAAGACAGGCAGGTGGGAATGTGGGCAGGTTGAGGGTGGGTAAGTGTGAGAGCAGGCAGATGCCAGGCTGCAGGTCTGAGATACAGGTGCTTCCTTGCCAGGCTGCGGGTCTGAGATATAGGCACTTCCTTGAGGCACCCCAGGAGCCAGGAGCACTGAAGATGGTGGTCTACAACTATCCTCTATCAAGTAGCAGGGCTGTGAAGGGGAAACACAGAGGAGCTGAAATATCTTGTCAGCTAGAAAGTCAACAAGTGGCCAAAGCCAAAAAAAAGAAAAAAAGAAAAAGTGTGGGAAGCCAGTCACAGACCAAGACTGATGGATTAGATGAAAGGCCAGCTGCTTTGATAACCGTCCTGCAGCTAACAGGACTGTCTTCTTGTTAAGAAAGAGACTGTAAAGTTATGAAGTCCGTAGGAATGAGGGAAGGAAGCTGACAGACACAGAGCAGGAAGCAAGTTACCAGAGCTGCTAGGGCCTGAGCCTGTCCCCCAGCAGCCTCCAACAAGGCGTGCTCAGTCACCTGTCCTCCGCCGGCCAGTTAAACAGACAAGAAGTAGTGGGGGGAGAAGCAGAGAACAGAGATTCATTCAATGTGGCCATGTGAGGGAGAGGAACGAAGAGGTCGGTGACACCCACATCCATCTCTGGGTCAAAATATGAGGTTGAAGTTTAAATAGAGGCTGGAGGCCTGCTTAGCTAAGAGTCCTGGTCAAGGTGTGGTCCTGCCCGCCATGGACCCATCACTGTCTCAGCGCCAGTCTCTCCTGCAAGGTGCGGAGGCCAGAGGTCGACACTGAGCGTCTTCCTCTACCACCTCCATCTTATTTGGGGGGACAGGGTCGCTTGCTGAACCGATAGATTGCAGAATTCGATTAAACTGGCTGTCTAGCGAGCTCCGAGGATCCTCCTGCCTCTGCCTCCCCAGAGCAGCCATGCTAGGGAACCAACTTAGGACCTCATGCTTGCACAGCAGGGACTGTACCAACTGAGCCATCCTTCAGCCTCCAACAATACAGTCTTTAAACAGGAGCGAGTGCAGCCAAAGGCCGACTGATGGGAGTCGGTGAGCAGGACTGCAGAGGCTGAGACATGGGCTGCAGTCTCCACAGAGCAGAGAGCCTGGAGGGCCCAGGTGGAGGCAGAGGCACCACTCCCAGTTTGAGAGAGCTCCAGAGGGTCTAGGGAGACCAGGCATCAGAGTGGACCAAGGATCCATGGCTGGGTGGCTGCCATGTCCAGGGACAGGAGGAGCAGAGGTTACATGTGGGACAGTGAGGAACAGCGGTGCCCGTTGGAGACTTGGTGGAACTGATGGGGCCATGGCCACCGGTTCCTCTCTAGGGGATGTCCTCCTGGACAAAGGTGAGTAAGAATCCCTGAGCTATCCATCTTCTGGCACCTGCACTGCCCTGAGCTTCCCTTGGGCCCCCTGCAGTGCCCTACGCTATGGGGCACTATGACCTGGGTAGTCCCATCTCAGAGACTCTGTACCCTTTGGTCCCTCATCCCCAGCTCTGTCTAGGCCAAACCCATTCGCTCTGGCTCTCTCCCTGTGCCCTGGACCCTGGAGTCAGAGGAGTTAGGGCTGGCCTCTGTGGCTCAGCCCCGTTTTGCCTCTACGTCAGGCCTCAGTGTAGCAGACCATCAGATGGGCACAGAAAAAGGAACACCTATCTCACTAGATGGGCACTGGGCACCTCCAGTCTGCTCCTCCCCTGAGTGCTGCTGGCCCTCTGACTACCTAGTTGTCGCCGGTCAGCCCCAGGACAGCCAGCCTGCCTCTGCTAAGGCCTGGAGGAGTCTCCTGTGGCCTAACCTGGTTCTCCATCTCAGCCTTTATCACAAAACAACTGAGAATGGATCATTAGCATGAAATAGAAATTCATTTTCTGGCACTCTGGGACCTAGGAAGTCCAAAGTCAAGACTCCACGTTGTATAAGCCTCTCCCACAAACATGTACTCA